GACATGGACAAGTCTGCTGGTAGCACAGTGGCATATTTCAGAAAGAAAGGGCAAACTTTTTCTTCATATTAGGAAAATATGAAAAATCTGAACATATAATATCGGCTAAAGGTGACACAAATGCAGCCGAAGCAGCACTGTGTAAGTGGGTTTGAATGGCTGCAGCCAATGCAAATTAGAGCTTGTTTTTGACGATCTATGTTTTTTATTAATGCTTATAACAAAAAAAACATAGATTTTAAACAGTCTTTTTAAACTATAGATCTGCCTTTACATGGGCTCTTCCAGGAATGGTGACACTGTTTTCCAGAGAATTGATTTGTGATCAGGTGGTATTTTTGTACTGTTTATCTCTTAACTGAAACATAACCTGCAGAGCAGGTCAGAGTGCTATATGAGGTAGCAAGTTCAACACAGCTATATCAGAGGTTAGTTAGTTTGTCTGCAGATCAAAGTGAAGCAGGTTTTATTGATTGAATAAGTGTTCCTGGTTATAAAAAGCCTGAACAGTTTCTGCTCTGTGTTCTAGTAGCTGCAATTCCAGATGTGTAAACGAGTGTTAGTAACTGATTAAAATCGAGTATAAAATATTTGTAAAATTTCAGAATCACCAGAATTTACATTTCATTTAATTCTTTATTACTTTGAGGCTCCTGTATTTTAATTCATTATTATCAGGTTGCCCCAAAAGCTCCCTGAAAAGCCAATTGATCCAAAGTGGTGCAGAGAGTGTACTGACAGGGACTTGAAAGAGAGACCATATTTCTCCCTTATGAGCTGCCCTATATTGGCTCCCTTCTAAATTTCCCCTCTCCCTCTTCTGGTCATGGTGGAAGGGTCACCCCTCCCTACGCCTGGTTTCTGTCTGAGATTTCTTCTTCTTAAAGGGGAATTTTTCTTTCCGACTGTCGCCACATACTTGCTCATAGAGTGTTGTGGGATTGTTTCTAGTACACTAAGTACTTTATATAAATAAAACTGAAGCAAACTGAATTAATAGAATAGGGAAAAAATTGGAACTTTATGATGATTTCAAACCGAACATGTTCCTGTCTGGGTGTTTTCAACATAGATTACTAAAAAAGTCAGCCCATTTTGAGACTTCGCAAATTAACCCATTAATCCTGATTTGTAGTACTCCCCTTAGGTCTGAAGTACAAGTTACCGTGGCAGTGTACCCTAACATGAAGTGAACTGCCTTTCTAACACTGAAAACTCAGCGTTAACCATGAAGTTAACTGTCTAAGCCCTTAATCTTGCTTTGTAAGGCATCAGGTCTCTTTCTCTCTACAGAGCAGTCTACACCTGACAATGAGGCATTAAAAAACCTACGGAGAATGTTTGCTAAAGGAACTGATCTAATGAACATAGTTTTGTGAATAAATGAAGACTACAAATATGTCTATGGATGTGAACCTATGTAAACCTTGTGCATTTCTTTTCAGGGTCACTGCAATGATGCACTTGTTTTTCAGACGCAACCATATCCCCTGTTTAGGTAAAAAACTTTCTGTGATATCTTTACCAGCAAGATGTCATTTTATTTACAAAGAAAGTAAATACTAACAATTTTGGAGTGCAGATATTCTGACTTGAAGAAAAGGGAAATAAATGACTTCAGGAAGGACCACCGAGGTCAAAAGATGTTTGTTTCCATCTGCAGTAATTTGAGTTTGACCCATATGTTTGATGGATGTAGTGAAAGGGGACATGCAGAGGGTTGGTGTGGTGGAAGTGGATGCTAAGCATAGGGTGAGATGACCTGCTATGGTGACACCTAAAGGGAGCAACTGAAGAAGAAGGGGGAGCATGGCCCAATTTGGGAACTTGCATGAAAAAACTAAGGCAAGAAAAGTAAAAGCGAGATCCCTTGTACGACACAGAGCATTGCAGCACTTATTAAGTCCGATGCAAAATGAATAGGATGTAAAGTGGGATGGAGGCGGAGTTTTCACAGGCGCCATCAGCCTTGCCTGACCTACCGTGATTCTCACTTTATTGCTACAAACAAGTTTGTCCTGCAGCAGCTCTGTTAGAGACAAGTAAAATATCTGCTGTCCTAAGTATCTGCTGCTTTGTAGGGCACGTTACTTTAAATATGCATTCGTCTCCCAAAATAGAAATGAGAATTGACAGGCTTTCTTTTCCTCCTCCTGACAGGATTTGTGAGGATTACATTGCAAAGAATGTGAGAAACAACGAGGTGCTCCGAAATCAACTTCCTCTCCTGCCTCGCAAGCTACTGAAGCTCTTACAGAGAAGGATCTCTTTCTACAGGCCTTTGAAGAAGCAAATGACTAGCTAAAAAGACCTTGAATGCCATGCTGTTTAAAGTGCTATATTTCTCCTTTATTGTTTTACAAATTAATATTTTATTTTGTACAGTCTGCCTACAGTCCCTGCGATGACTGCGCTGAATAAATGACAGATTGACACTTTGATTTGCCTGATGCAGATTATTACAATACGCAGATAACTCAGTCAGCAGAACAGAGCAGCTACAGACACGTTTTCTCCCAGAGTAGTCACATGACCATCAACTCGACATTTTCTGCTTTTTTATTTCAAACACACACAAATTTTTTTTAAACTCTGCTTCCAAATTTTCATATTGGAAATTTCCTCTAAAAAGTTTGATAAAATTTCACGTTTGTATTTATGCACACAACTTCTGCATTCTGCCACTAAGTGGCAGCAGGCTTTTATTTTGAAGTGTTTCAATGGCTGAATTGTGTCAGCAGAAACAGAGACTTTGCCCAACTAAAAGTCTCTCTGTAGCCACATTCTCGCAGGGTGGAGAAAGTGCAGGAGCTGCGGTCAGGAAGGAAATGTTAGGTAAACATTCTCTGCTCATACCTTGGCAGGGTTTGCTACATGAGAAACTGAAGCCCTGAACACTTTATGCTCACACAAAACCGCTGGTGGAAACAAGTCCATCTTTACTGCTAAAAGATCACAAGCATGTACCTCTCCTGCTGACATTTACAGAACTGGCAGAAAGGGTCTGTGTTGTCTCATTAAACAGACATGTTAAACCATGTTAGTAATAGGTAGCAAATGAGTGCTCAGTAGGAGTCGAGCTGGACAGTAACACCCTACCTGCTTCAGAAACCCAACCCTTGAGTGTGAGGAGAACTTCCTAGCACATATTCAAGCTGGTGTTTTAACTCTGCAATTACTGCTGCATCTTGTTAAATAAGACTTGGCTAAATGCACAGACTGGGAGTGATGCTGTTTTAAGTTCAACACAGACTGTGTTCATTATTTTTTTTCCTGGCAACCCTGCATAAATACAGATTGTGCAGCCTTTCCAGCAAGCAGGAAATTTGTCAGAATAAACCCTGGTTCCCTTTCTTTGAATACAAACGGTTTCCTGTCATGAGAGCTTGCTAAAAGAGCTTTCTTAGCTCGGAGGGTCAACTAAACTCTCTTTCAATGGTATCCATCAGCTCCTCTTCTGATCCATCGTACAGGATGACTGGCGTGGTGAGAGAAGAGCCATGGCAGCTATCAAACGTCCTGGGAAATGTAGAGACCCACATCAGGAAGGTGAAGATTACAAACAGAAAATGTGACACATATTTAAACAGTTTAACCCAACGCTCAGAGTGTAGAGGCCCAAACAAAACAAAACTAACAAAACAAAAATGGCGCTGTGAGAAAGTTGGAATAAAGTTGGAAATATGAATGTTTTTCTTTTTGGCATTCTTCAACAATAGACACTTGTCTGTTTCTCCCCTGCTTGCAAACATCTGGCGTATCTGATACGCTCTGAGAATAATGGATTTGGTATTTCGATTCCTTTAAGGTGAATTTGATCTGGCTCTGCGCATTTTTCCTCCACTGAGGTCAGGAATGAATAATTTATTTAAGTTGCCTACTTACGGTTGTTGTTCTGATGTGGGGACGTCTTCCGACAAAGCCTCTGTTGTCAAACAGCCCTGTGAGGAGGACTGACATAAAGCAGAGAGGGAAGGATGGATATTATGTGTTTCATTCAATAATAACTCGCGGTTATTGTTACTTTAAAAGCATATTTTTGTTCTCATAAACTGGATTACAATCTGGCAAAAGTACTTAAAAGTAGAAATTTAAAAGTCCTTACATTGTGCTCGGTGGTACACCCAGATGTGTGCTTTTTAACGTGTGCGAAGGCAGAGTTGCCCTTCTTGTTTACATCTCTTGACACACTGTGTGCGACACGTGGCTCTTGGTCTCTTCCTGACGCTCGGAGCCTCGGAGCAGAGCTGAAGTCGTCTTCAGCGTCCTCCTGGCTGAAATGACACAGTCCGTATGTTTTGGATCTGATGAATGTCTTCTTCGGAGGGGTCTTCTTTACCGAAGCGCTCTCTCTTTCTGTGTAATCTGCCATAACTGTGTCCAGTTCTCCATCAATATCCTCCTCATTCCCAGAAAAGTCCGAATCCTGCCCTTCGCTGTGGCAGTCAGGTTGCGCGCGGTTACGCACATTGCGCAAAACTGAGTGCATTTTAAGAGGCTTGAACAGACGGCTGTCCTTTTGAGGTGAAGCGACATCGGTCCCCGTTTTGGTCACGTTTACCTCGCTGACACAAGCAGGTGCGACTCTTTTTCCTCGGCTTGTACCCGAGCCCATGTCCGTGTGTCTGGGCTGCTAGTGTAGTCTCATTTCCAAATTGCTCCTGAGGCACGGCAAGCGCTTTTGCAGTTGAATATTAACCAACAAAAGCGTGGTCCTTGGCAGTGGTTAAGGTCAGTCTTCAATTAGTTTTACGATAGGAAGGCAGTTCTTTGGCAAAAAACGAAGCTTTTCTTTAAAATGTTTCTACAGACAGGTTGTTAAAATAAACGGCAGTAAACTTTCGAGTAACTCCAAATCAAGATGAGAAACTGTGTATCCCTTACATAACCAAGTTTGGCTCAGGACCCCAGGGAGAAAACTCCGCCTTCTTATAGGGGGAAACACACATCCTCCATTGTGTCTACTGCTAAAAAAATAACATCTGCCTGTGTATTCTCATGGATTTAAGCAACCAATCCCCAAAAAAGGGAAATATACGTAAATATTCACGTGTTCCCTTTAATGATAGGGAGTCATTTTGAAAGGCTAACAGGAAGAATTAGTCCAATTTGTCTGTATCAGAAACATGACCAGCCTATTTCCCTTCTTCACCTAATAGATTTTATTGGGGCCAACAGTGAGTGAATTCCTGTCACCCTGATGCAGGAGCCCCCCTCCTCCAGTGAATGATTAAGATTAAAGTGCTGGACCATGAGAGAGGGCATTCCTTTCCAACAGCTCAGGCTTCCCAGAGATTCCTCAATAAGCTTTTGTTTGGTCCACTTGCGCATACAAAAGACATGACAGGAGCACCTCAGTGCCAAAGCTGTCCAACAAAAACCCAGAGTGCACCAAAGCAAAGAAAAAAAACTTGTTTGCCATCTTTCATTAAATGCCTCATTTTCTCTCTCGCTTTTCTTACTTGTGTGTGTGTGTGTGTGCACATGCAAGTGTGTGCCAGACAGCTGTGCAACCTGTTCTCTCTGGAGGCTGACCAAGTCAAAGACACCTGTCGTTTAGGAAATTGGCAATGTGAGAGTAGAAAAAAAGCAAGTCGGCCTGCAGGTCTCAAATGTCTCATTGAGGAAATTCCTGTCTTGGTCACTGATTATTAGAGAACACACGCAGCATGTCGGCAAATCTTACTTAACCTGCAAACTTTTAAAAGTAAAATGATACTGAAATATAAAAATAGCTCTTCTTCCATACACTCTCAGCTGCAGTTAGCTACATCTCATCATGACAGAAGAGCCTGTGTGGCATCCTGATCACATTTACAGTAGTATGAAAACCTCCTACTACTGACTCTCTCCATTTCAGTGATGCTGTCCAAAGATTGGATAATCTCAGAGATTGCCTTTTAGGGGAAAAAAATGGAGATTCAGAGCTAAGCTGGAAAACTGAGACATCTTCCTGATTGTGCAATAAATTGCATGTATACTGCAGATGTTGCCTCTCTCTCCCAAATGTAAATTAAATCTCCTTAAATGAAAATAAGTCTTGTTTTTCGACAGTAGTCAAACATAAAACTTAAACAACAAGCTTACTTTCCAGCCATGCTTCTCGAGCAGTCTCGTTTATGTTATTTTCACTTCTGTTAACTCTCCGCCTGCACTGCACTCTGGTGTATCATTAAAGAGATCGGGCCGCCACATCTGGAGAAAAATTCAACAGCTTCCAGACGAGGGGGAGGATCTACCACAAAATAGAAGCCACGGCCCAGCTCGCTACATAACTGTGGTTTTTCTTATTTCTTCCAGATTCAAGAATATTCCTCCAGTATGGATGAAGTTTAAAAGACTGGGAAAAGCATTTATGAAACGCTGACCTTGGATTTAGTTTAGCTTTGTACATCATATCCTATGCAAACTCTGAATCAGCAGACATGTGAGTTGTTTTTGCAGTGCTGTGGATACAAACGTCCTTTGTTCCCTCCCAACAACAGAACAGCATATGTGAAAAATGTTAATTATTATGACTCAGCTGCTCCATTTGGAGGACAACAAATAAAAGCATTGTTGTTGTGTTTGAGTAAAAAAGGAAACAAACTGCCATATGTTTGTAAAAAAAACAACAACCCCAAAACCAAATCTCTGGAGAGTATTTAACAAGCCAGCTGCCCGCTGATAGGCATTCCAGTAAAACTGCCTGGACCTCTTTCCTCAGTAGACAAGCATTAATAGGACAGGGTCAACAGGATCTACACACCACAACATTGTAAAGCAATTTATTCCTTCTTATTTTTTCATAGCCTAAATGATGTCTTAATGGGGACCACATTGAATCAGACCCTTTTCTTTAATAGAAAAAAATATGACTATATAAATATATAAATATTTCCCTACAGCCTCACAAAAGACCACACCCGTCTTTGGCAAGACCACGTCATATAAATTGATTCATCATCACGATATAAAAAAAAAAATCCTCTTTTTTATATAACTTCAGATTTTGCCTCACAATAATCAGATCCAGACTTCTTTCAGTGACAGAAAAATCCACATGTGTATATGGGATCTTATGCCAACATTTCCAACATAAGCAAAATACTGAGGCACTGTTATGTTTTTACTGTTTTAGAAGTAAATTTAATAGGTTTAAAGTATAGCCTAAACAAGTGAACCAAACGCACTTCTTAGTTGGATGCCTAGGACTTGGTTAAGGGGCTAGAAAATATATCACACTGCTGAATGTTCTCACAAAGATAGACAAGAAAATGTGTGTGTATGTGTGTGGTGAGCAGGTCTTACTCATGTTGTGGGGACCTCATTTTGTTTACATTGTTACATTCTGGGCACATGGCTTCCTTTCATGAACATAAGTCGCTATAACATAAATCCTTAAATTTAAAGGTGACGGCATGCCTTAAGGTTAAGGTTAGGGATGTAGTAGTTCCCTAGATTAGAGTAAGTCTGCAGGAAATGAATCCAAGGCCATATAATGCCTCTGAAGTCATGGATAGATTACAGATTTTCTACAGGGAAAGGAAGCCAAATTGGTTCACAGTCAGATAAAAGGGCCGTTCAGGGTCACATACTGTAGACGTAATCAGCTGAGCAGATGAGCGGAGCTGAGACAGAGGGATATTGTAACTTCCACAGGGTGACATAAGGTTGTCAGGGCAACAGTCAGTGCAACCACGAGGAGTTGAAGTGCAGTAAAAGAACAAGGAGCGTCTGTATTTATCTTTGAGCTCTTAATCTGCTACATTACCAAGCATAAATTAAAGCGTTTGCTTTTGTGATAGCGGTAAAAGTACGTCACAGAGATGAAGCGGCGACAAGCCTGCAAACCTTTAAAGTTAACGAATTCTCCTTAACATAAGAGTCTGACAGGTCGCTGTAAGGGAGGACTGCCTGCTGATATCTAGAAGTGGTGAAACTGTAACCAGCAGGTGGAGCTAGTATTCAACAAAAGAAAATTAGGGTGTCTTCCATGCCGATCCATGCACAGGACAAGTTGTTACTCTTCATGAGCTAAATGCATTTTTTATTTTTAAAAAGAACAAAAAGAAAAGCTTAGAGCTCCTTCTATGGGATTTCACAAAATTATACCTTTAGTAATAGTATAGTTATTTAAGAAAAACAATGCATTTCACACTATTTTAAATAAAAAAGCAAAATTTTACCACTGAAATACTGAAGCAGACACAAGGAAATAGACAAAAAAGAAAGGAAAGGACAAAAAAAGAACTCTATAGTTTAAAGTGAAAGTATGTGAGTGTAACAGTGACACAAGTAACCTGTCAGATTATTATAAATACCAAACTATTGGTCATATGAGAGCAAATAACAGCAAAAAACATGACTTTAATAAATATGAAAAAGTATATAAGTTGCATAAATGCTACTTCATGTTAAAAGCAAAGCATGTTGGCACTTTATACAGCCACGTGTTTTACATGTGGACGTGAAATCAGCTTTGGAGATCCTCTCACTTCCCCACTATTAACTGTTATAACAGTGTCCTGGAAGGTCTTCTCAGGCAAGCCAGTGGTCACTGCTGCAGTGACCCATTTTTCTGTCAAAAGGCCATGTAATCAACAGAAAACAATTACTGCCTCTCTCTCAGGCGCTCGGAGCGCTCAATACTAGCATCTGCTCACTTCCTAATTACCTGCTCGGTAAGAAGCTTCATTTGGAGAGAAACACACGGCAATCAATCCCTGCATTAAACTTGGTTTGTTTGTCAGCATCCTGAAGTGTCACGCTGAAACCTCTGTTCATTTCAGTTTTGTTTGATTAACTTCTGCTTGACCTACATTCTGTTTATTGGATCTTGTATTTATTGCTGTTAATTCCCTTTTAAATGTGCCTCTTGTTCATGTTTATATTACAGTTCCCTCCTTTTACTCACTCTTTTGCTCCCAGGCTAGTGCTAACCTTTTCCCCCGAGAGCATGGGTTTTAAAAGTGTATGCTTTGTTTAGTGCTTTTTTCCCTCTGTCTTTTCCAAATTTCTACATTCTACAAAAGATTGCCTATTTTGTGGAAAGAATGTGTCACCCTAAACACCCACTCTTGTTTTTAATGGTCCCATTGCATGTCTTTGTGCATTTGAAAGTATGCTGAAAACAGTCTTCTTCTTCTTTCCACTGTTCCTTTTAGGACTCCCCACAGTGGGTCGTCTGCCTTCATCTTACCCTATTGTACTTTTCTGTCACACCAACCCTCTACATGTCCTCCTTCACTACATCCATGAGCATTCTCTGTGTCAACTTCCTTTGTATCCACTATTTTTTCATCTCAGCCAGACTTCACTCTGATGTACTCGTTTCTAATCTTGTCCATTCTGGTCACTCCCAGTGAAGATCTTAGCATCTTCAACTCGACCTCCTGTCGTTTTGTTAGTGACACCATCTCCAAAGAATACATCATAGCAGGTCTTATCAGCATCTTATAAATCTTCCCTTTCACTCTTGCTACTATCCTTCTGTCACAAATCACCCCTGACACTTGTCTCCACCTGCTCTACTTTGCCTCTCTTTTCCTCACCTCTCTTGTGCACTGACTGTTGGTATTGGTATGGTTGATCCCAGGTATTTAAACTCATCTAACTTCACTACATCTACTCCTCGCAGCTTCACTGTTACACCTTTCTTTCTATTATTCACACATGTATTCTGTCTTGCTCCTACTGACTTTCATTCTTCTCCTCTCCAGAGCATGCCTCCACCTCTCCAGGTTCTCTTCCACCTGCTCA